TTTTACATCCTATTCCCTTGTTTTATGTCTTTGAAATCTGGAGGATATTTTATATTACTATATGTTTAAGTTCACATCTGATACATTTCAAGTGCTGAATAGCCCCATGGTAGGTAACCCTTAGGTAGAACTTCATTAAATAAAATTAGAGAGGAGGAAGCTAGACTTACCTATTTCTCCATCTTGCCTGCAGTAATGTTATTTCTGTGTGTGTGTGTGTGTGTGTGTGTGTGTGTTTTTCTCCATTTGAGCTGTTTATCAGATACAGAGTAGCTGTGTTAGTGATAAGACAGGTGCTTAAATAGATTTATCTTGCTTTAGTTATGCAGTAATTTTCTGGAGCACTTTGAAAATCAGCTTATAGACAGCTTCTGCTGAAATGATGTTGCAGAGGAAAAATATGTAGTTTTAAAAACAAGCGTAGTCCATGTTAGCAGTTAGTAGACGCCATATTTCATTGTTCCAAAGATGTACATTTATTTCACATTTTAATATATCTGAAAGTAGGATGTATATCATTGGTGGTGTGACAGTTTAATTGACAGTAGTTTTTCTTTTGCACTTAAACCTAAAAATTATGTTACAACTTATAGTGTTTTAAATTTGATGAAATATACTGTATTATTGAGTTAACAGGCAACATTGTTCAGGGAATTTAGAGTCTCATTAGACTGAAAACCAGAATAAAATTTGGTCTTTATTCATGTGTGCAGCGTAATAAATATAATTTTTTTTTACTAGTACTTAAGTATGATTGATCTTTTGGAGTCAGTGGATTATATGGTTAGAAATGCGCCTTACAGGAAATATAAGCCTTATTTACCACTTCATACCAACAGTCGACAATGGTAAGTTAGGATTTGTTTTTTTATATTATGGGAAACATATAATCATATAATTAGGGACTCTCAGAGTTAAGAGAACTTTAAAGCTGTGTCCAGCGACATTTTCTTTTAAATAGACAAGAGAGGGATGTCATTTGTATGTCCATGTCACTTTTTTTATAAGCATATCTTCTTCTACTCCTGCTCATAGACTTCCAAATTCTTAACTTAGCATTCAAGACTTTCAACATTTTTTACAAAGCTTTATTGCTCATTAGTCACCCACATGGACTCAAAGTTATAACCATACTGAAATACTATTAATTTCCCACAGCATGTCATTTTGTGCCTTTATGATTTTGCTTTGGCATACCCTCTTTCTGAAGGGTTTTCTTATATCTTAATATATTTAAGTCAGAAAATTGTCCTGGGGAATTGAAATCTTATTGCTGAGCTCTTACAGGAAAATAGTTAAGAACAAAAAATTTAACAGTGTAAGATCTAAAAAGTCAAAGTTGTTTTTCTGCTTTTTCTACAATCTTTATATTCAAATGTGCATTAATAAAATTTGATTTTCAGGTGGAAATATGCAATTGATTCTGTTCTTGAAGTTCATATAAGAAGGTATACACAGATGTGGTCATGGAGTAACATTAAAAAGCACAGGCAGTTAGTCAAGAATTATAAAATGGCCTACAAAAACAAGCTAACCCAGACTAAAGTCTCAGAAGAAATGCAGAAACAAATTCAGGTATGTGTTGCATATATTAATGAGAGTTATTTCTCTAATCATCCTTTAATATTAATTCTTCTGCATTTAATTTCAATCAAAATATAATTAAAAAAATTGTTATTGAATCAAAATGTTTATTGAATCATTTTTGGGGGGTTCAATGTTGACATATGTTGACCAATATTACTAGCATATATATTGTTACAGATCGTACTTATTCGTTATGCCCCTTTTCTAGTCTCTGACCATTCTCCTCCCCTTTCCCTCTCTAATTTCCCTAGATTTCTTCTCTCCTTCTGAAAGAGTAATGATTACTCTGTTGATTTGTTGCCTAGATGATCTGTCCAATGCTGGGAGGTGTGTTCAAACATGTCA